AAGGTTTTATATATGCAGGTCGTTTGAAAGCTAGTGGAGTTAATGTAGTACATCGTCATTTTGAAAATACTTTTCATGGTTCATTAACTTTTCTGGAAGGATTATTTGAATTAGATATTGCTCATGAAATGCTCAATGATATTGTTCAATATCTGAAAGAAAATCTTTGAAAATTTAATTGTACTTCTTATTTATTGTTAAAATTATTGTCAGTAATTATTATATTTTATGATTTTGAAATAAAATTAAAGTAAAGACTAATTCAAGAAAAAAAAAAAAATCATCACTTTTTGTTATCATTACACCAATCAACATGATATGATTGAAAATTTGATCAGTAGTCGATCACAGATTGAAAGATCAGAACTGTATAAGGTAAACTATCAATAACATAGCAAGAGAAAATCAAAATTCTCAATTCTAACCAATCAAATAGGTTGATTTTGTGGTTAATCGTAGAAACATACTGAAGTCTTTTCTTTATCATAAAAACCATGTAAACAAAGGTCAGTATTCCGTTTTATTATTGACCTCATCAAATCAATTATACGTGTTGGCGAGTATGAAAAATGCTTAACATAAACTTTATGAATGATACGGTACTGATAAGCATAGAACAGTTTTTTTTTGGAACTAATTAATCTTAAATTCAACGGTAATAATATTTCGATTTTTTTACCTATAGAACACTCATTTTCGCAAGGGTGTTAGTGAGTTGCGGTGTCACAAATTCATTATCTGACATGGATTTCAATATTTAAACGAATTAGTTCTAAAAAGCTCTACATTCATCAAAATAGTAGAATTCGTAAGAATTATTTTGATTTCTTCTTGTTATACTCTTAGGTGACAACTGAAAATCATCTATAGATCGCTTCAAATGTAATGTTTTTTTGACAACAAGTAAATTTTATTCTCTAAGATCAATAATATTAATAATACTATTGAATAGGAAGATTTATCTATTTAATCTGTATAAAAAAAGAAAAGATTTGAATAAATTTTTATCACTAGCCATAAAATCTTCCTATTTGATTTCGTCTGATCACGTTATTGATAGTGTACGTAATACTTCATCTATATGTATGATTGTGGATATGTATTGAGATATTTTTTTGTTTATACAACAGTGTATTCTACATGGTATTTCTTTTTACAGATCTAATACAAAGCCTTGTAGATCCTTGATCAGGATTAACCGTGGAGTCAAAGTGATCAAGGTTATCAATATCATTAGTGAAATGTTACATATTGTGCCTGTTTATTTATATATTTTCTTCTTATTGATTAAAATCTGATTGCTATTGCAAATGATAAATTAACCAGTGGAAGAATAGAAACAAATTCTTATTTCTGCTGTTGATAACTATAGAGTAGAGTGGGGCTATTATGAACAAATTTTCAACACTCGCAATTTGAGGTCTTATAACTTTTTTATTTTTTTTTTGTTATTTTTGAAGAAAGAAAACACTAACATGTAGCTTGACGTTTTCTCTACATATCTATCTAAAAATCTTCAAAAAGTACCTTGCAAAAGTCGTTCAGCACCTATTTTGCTAGAAGCACCATCGTTTTGTTCAGAATAGCCCCGTATGGGGCAATTATGAACACACACATCTTATAGTGGGGTAATTCTGAACACTCAGCTAAAATAGCTGGAAAATTTGAGCTTTACTCTAAGTCACTTTACTCATCATGTGATCAAGATTAATTAGTAATTTTTGCACCAGTAAATAGATCACCTTTAATACTACAATCGGTAAGATTAACTTGTCTGTAGCCTTTATTTTAAATTAATAGTAATTAAAATACTTTAATTAGAAAAAATCATTTTTGTTCATAATTTCTCCGTATGGGGCAATTATGAACACGGGCTTCTTATAGTGGGGTAATTCTGAACGCTATGCTAAAATGATAGTAATATTCAAATTTTTATTTCTGATCACTTTCGAAACGAACAATACGTCCAATTGAAAATCATCCGCTAGAAAAGTTATAGATAATCTGATTCTGAATAATCGGATACCAAATTCAATACCATTAGAATGAATAATAAAAAAAATGTCAATACCAAACAATAAATCATACCTCTTTATCAGCATGATTTTATAATTTAGTTTTAGTTTTTCACATTGGATGTTTATAAAATAGATTAATATCTTTTCAGTATAAGTTTTTAAGAATTTCCAAACATATTGTAAATGATAATAGTGAAAATAAATAGCAAAGGTTAGGGAAACTATATGAATCAATGATAAAACATGAGATCAAATAACACGTTGATCAAAAGCATCGATATCAATTGATCTCATTTCCTTTAAGAACTAAGAATCTAATGCTTAAGCATTTCAGCTCGATAGAAAACATCCATTATAGACTCAGTGTTAGTTAAAATAGCTTACAGCAGAGTTCGAATTACAATATTGACCATGAGTCACTGGTTCGACACCAGTGCTTCAAATAGCTCACTGTCCTTATCTATGTGAACATTTACAGAAGTGATGATAATGACCAGTGTAGACGGTAAAATTGCTGAAGCATAAGACAAGAATTTTTTTCTGGAGTACTCAAACACTTTGATGCTAGGATATCGTAATATTATGAAACTTTGATTTTCATCCTATGTTTCATTGGTTCATAGTTAAAGAATCTACCTACAGACCTATGATCGTCACCAATCTTTTTATTATTGTTAGATGGCTGGTCAGTAAATAGTTGCAATACATGATATCTTTTGTGGATTTAAGCATTTAATAACAAAACTCTACTTGAATCTTAGAAGGCTTGTTTTATAGTATTGCTCTCTGGATAGCGATTTTACAAATTCGCTCGATATTCATAGATATTCTTAGTAACTATTCCAGTTTCACTGATGATCTGCATGACAATATATACAGAAGGAGTTGAACATCATCTATGAATACATGAATCAGCTATAATATAATATTGTGTTTGAAATTGTCTAAATTTTGACAGTTCAGGATTGTTTTCAAAACTTATTCAAAGTTAGCATCATATTTAGAGAAAACGACACTTTGATGATCATCATATTAAACGAAGTACTATCAGATTTTCTATCATCTCGACTTCTAACTTTCTGAAGCCAAAGCATTCGTTAGGTTTCAATCTCAAACAAAACGTTCGATAATAATTCGTGTCTTCGTGATGAGAATCCCAGACTTGTTTTACGTAAGTTCTATACTTCTTGCAAAAGTATGGATATCAAATGTCAGTGATGATCATCTTGATAGGATTCTTTCAAATTCTGAAGATTTCGATTGTATCTAGTCAATAGTCATTAGAATTTTTCCTACTATATTCAGATAATCGAACTCATCTGAATCAGTAACGTTTGCGATTCTTTTTGGCATTAAGAACTTAACGCTTTCTTTCCGAGTGACACCTAAAGGTGGATTTTTTTTTTATGTTTTTTTCTGTTGAACTATAAGATTTATAGTAATTAGATCTACATCAGCAGTGTCACATATCCAAGATTTTGGAGATGCCACCACGTCTCCCGCGGGAGATGCCGCATCTCGCGTAAGAGATGCGGATGTGGGTGTGGGGGATGCGCATATCTAAAGGAGATCTTACATCTCCAGTGGTGAATGACCATATCTCTCGAGTGTGGGTGTCGTGTCTCCCGCTGGAGACGCGGCATCTCCCACAGGAGATGTGGTGGCATCTCCAAAATCTTGGATATGTGACACTACCCTATTAGTTCTAGTTTAAATATTTTTGCTCATTTGTTCTAAATAGTTCACTATAAAACAATTATTAAATGAATGATTTTATAGATAAGGACCATTGATTAGTCAATTTACAGCTATTGAAATAAAATAACTTATTCGAGTTCTTTTTCAAATATGAAAAACAATTTACATAAAAATTCAATAAAATTTTTCTTAGATATGTTTATATTTATTTATTTATTTTTATGTTTTCTTTTCGGAAGAAAATGATCTTATTTCTAGTATTTTCAAAGAGTTTCAAGAGAATGAATTAAAAAATAAGAATTATTTTTTATTTCTTGATTTATTTTTTCAAGAAGAAACAAACAATAATAACAAAAATTTTTTTATCATGATGTTGGTGGTGGAGAAGCACTAGCGGGACCAAGATCAGCTGAACCACCACCACCAGCAGAAGCAGAAGCAGGACCAAGACGAGCAGAACCACCACCACCAGCAGAAGCAAGATCAGCAGCAGCAGCAGCAGCATTAACACGACTGGCAAGGGCGTTAATTCTTTCTACGTCCGACATGGAAAACGTGGAATTCTCCACGAGCCCCTCTAATAATGCAATGCCATCAGTCACCGTTGAGGGAAGAATGGTGGCATATTGCGGAGGTATTTGGTGTTGTGGTAGTTGCTGGAGGGGTGATGGAGATGGTGACCGCTATAAAAAAGAAAAAAAAAATATTAGTTTATTAAACATTTATTTATTGATATTATATCCACCGCTAACTTTCGATTGTTTATGACACATTAAGAAAAACAAAAAAAATAATATTGTATATGTATATATACGAGCACGTATATTTTATGCAAAAGAAAAAATAGACTGACATGACCTGATGAAAGAATACTTTTTTTTTTTCATTGGACGAACACATACTGTGCAACAGATAGTTGAATATAAGAAATGATTTTACATAAAATTAAATGTACTCTAGTTTTTTAACAAAGTAATGCAGAAAAACTTTTAAAAAAATACTTATTATAATTACGAAATATTTAGGAAGTTTTTTGACTAAAATAAAATAAATTAAAAATCAAATAATAATTTATAATAGTTTGAATAAACTTAATGTCAGTTTTAATGACTAATTATATAATAATATAATGCATTATTTGTTTTAACGATTTCTTAATAATTTCTCCTTTTATTCTACTTTATATTATTTCACTCAATCAATAGATTAGTGAACATTTGGTATTTTTTTTTTTGTTTTTCTAGAAATAATGAGTCCGACAATGGACTATAATATTCTGGTCAGTTGTTGTATGTCCCATCAGGTAAGGCTACATAACAATAGAACATTATAAATGAATAGTATATTATCTTGCAGTTTGTACAAGGAATGATGATCCTTGCTCATCATCTTGCTACTCCTGTTGCTACATCTGCTTTTGCTACTCTTGTTGCTGCTGATCCTACTTCTGATTTTGCTTTAGCTTCAACTGGTGCTATTCGTCCAGCTGCTTCTGCTTATGTAATAAAGAAACACTTCAATCTATTCCTCATAAAAAATTATATATATATATATATTTTTTTTTTTGTGTATGTGAAAAAAATAAAGCAGAAGTTTTAAGATGATTAGAATTTTGTAATTCATTCTCGGCAGAACTCAAGAACACATCTAAAGATATAGATAAAAAATGAAAATATTGGTATTGACGATGTCCGTAATCTTGAAATCATTTTAAACTAATGATATTCATATACATAACATCAGCAATATTAGAAATTTTTGTTTAAATCTATATTAACATAAACAGTTTTTCTCAGATGAACTATTCTCGAGAGATCGCTGAATGATATTTATAAAGAGGATTTGAAAAAGATATATCATATATAGGTATTGTCAGAACATATTTTTTGTTTTTGTCCTGTCCTATCCTGTTCTAAAAAAAAAACTTTATTATAAAATTTCTTGTCATGTTCTATGCTGCAACGCAGGTCAGGGTAGGACACAATAATCTGTAGAAAAAAAGAAGATTTTAATATCTATATCTAGATTAAGATGCCAAAGTTGTTGTTGAATCATTACGTAAAATATGAAATTTTGTTTTTCTAATTAGTACAAGTTGTCAGAATCCATTATATGTATATGATGAAATGGAGACAAAAGTAAAAATATTTGAGAAAAAGAATGATCATATAGAAACTTATTTCTATCAATAGTACAGTAAAAAGAGAAATATCAAGATGTAAATCAACAGATAATAATGATAATCATGTTATTTTGTTTTGCTTTTTTTGACCTAGCGATGTAACAAGACGATAATAAATAATTACAAATATATGTTCATTATTATGATTCTGTTCCTGTTTATTTTATACTATTTTAATTGAATTTGATATTGATCGTGTGAATAGAATAGTTCTCTGTATCAGTTGAAAAATATCATCTATATGTTTTATCTTGTTCTCAACATTTTCAATACAAATCAAAACGCTCATATATCCAAATCAAACTTATTAAGTGAAATTTCTTTTTTTTTTTTTTTTAAGCAATAAAAATATCATCCTATTCTGTTCTATTATTCTGTATTATCTATCCTATTATGTGGCAGTGATTGGATACTCAGTATTTTACTGAGTATTTTTGATACTTTTACTGAGTATTCAGGATTACTTGAGTACATTCTAACAGTATCAGTAAATTTACTTGTACTGAAAGATTTTACTGAAGTACAAAACTTTGTACTCATTTACTGAAGTACCAGTATTTAAGTACAAAATGTACTTTAGCCGGATATCAACATATTCTAATATATTACTACTTTGCATTCTCAGAAATGTCTACATAATATTCATAATATTTAAACCTACACACTATAAATTCATGTCTTTTGAATTTTCCTTGGTTATCAATGTTGATCATTTATGCCGAGGCTGTTTTATGACAATGGAGATAGAAATATCGTGATAATGATTATTCATATACATTTTCCTTAATATGTCGCTAAGTTATAGACGTTAGGTGTGTATCACACATCCTAACATCGATATCAATGTGTTAAATGTACAGCTACGCTACATTATGGCTTTAAGTACTCTAATGTACTTAAATACTGTACTTGAGTACAATTCAGTACAGTACCGCTACTGACTGAAATTTACTCAAGTAAAAAGTATTTAAGTAAAGTACAAAGTACATTTTTTAAGTATCTTCAGTTTTACTGGTACTTGCTGTACTTGTACTCGTCCAATGACTGTTATGTGGATACTTCTAATACCAAAATTTTTTCAAAATGTGAATTTTTTTCTATAGAATATCAGAAAATGTTAGTTTCAACTTTGTTTTTTTATTCATTTAACTATATATAGAATTGTAATTACGTATTTTGCTTTTTATTAATGTATCATTTACTTATTCATGACATTTCAGAAAATGAAAATCTATGTAAAAACACTCGAAGATATTAATATGTCTTATCAAGTGAATAGAAGAGAAACTCACAATGAATTTCATTCATTTGACTACTAATAAAAACTCCATCAAAAGAAAATAATCTATAGAGTTTGATTTGTTAAAGAAGATTTAAAATGATGATAACCTAATGCTTAACATTAGTTTTTGTCAATACGTAGATCATTGCAATCACACGTATCGTATCAAAAATATATATAAGAAATAGAAAATGAACGGTGGTCTTCTTCTGGTAAGTGGCGACAAATGTCTGCAAATCGATAAAATGATAGGGTTTAATCAATCCGAATCTCTGTGTTCCTTGATAAATATCTTAGTTTTCTACGTTTATCGTTCTTATTCTTCAGATTCGTATAAGAAAATTTTTGTTAAGAACCAGATCTTTGTCATCTCTCCTCGATCGGTAACTGTGAACAAGAAACTTTATAAACATCTCAATTGTACAAGGTATTCAGAAAAGAAATTGGTCAAGTAGTCGAAAATGTTTATGAACAAATATTTCATCATTAGATCTGCCTTGCTCAACGGACAATTCAGGAGTTAAAACAAATATATAACCGATGAAGTTGGATCAAAGGAAAACTTCCGATATAAACAGTTCAGATAGTGGCTTTCGTTGAAACATTATATTGGTCTTGGAGGTGAAAAAAAGACTATCGAATCTCATTTAAGATGTACTATAACAAGGTGAATTATTAGATAGTTTGCTCATAGTATTGGAAAAGTCCACAGACATTAAAGAGAAATCCATTGAAAAAAAAAAAAGGTTGAAACCTAAGAACAAATGATTAACTAATACATTCTTTTCAATCTACAAGAGAAGAGACAAAACTAATTGTAAAATGTTTTCGTGGATTTGAAAAATGATGACGTCGATGATGAATTGAACATTTTCTCAGGCAATTGCCGATGAAAAGAATACGAAAAATTTGTATCGGTGTATAAGCATGAATTATATAATGAATAGAATCATATCGAATGTAATTGATTAACATTCCAGATATCAATGCAGACGAATCTGGCATTCTCACAAGCCAAAAAATAAACCAAGCTATGGGTGCTTGTGTTCCTAATTCGTGAATAGGTGAAAAAACATGCCATAAATCAGTTGGTGCCACATGATGTATACCATGCAGAAAAAAATGAAACTTTTGAGAACGAGGTTCTATAACCGGCAAATGAAAAAGAAAACGATGAAATAAATATTCGATGGGAAACCAAAGTATAAAGCCAATTAAAATCCAAACTAATCGAAATAATGTAAGAGGAGAAGCCAAATAATATATTACTGGTGGCCAAAATAGTAATGGCAAAAATGGAGGTGATTTTGTTAAGATAATATTCCAAAATTTCTACCGATATAATCTGACTTCATTGACATGTTCGGTATTTTTCGAATAAATATCCATTCTTCATATTGCTTAGGTGTTAACTTAAATGGATCTTCACTTGTATAATGTTTTTCTCCAGTAAGCGTGTCAAGATGAGGAGATGGAGCTTGAAATTCACAAGCAATGGAAGATGCGTTATTTGTGTAATGTGGTGGCATGTTGAAGCAAGAATTGAAAGTGCAACATCAACGATATTCAGTCTATGTCACATTCGATAAGAGTCATTGTGTGTTTTATGACAATACAAACAAAAAAAGAAAAATATCCTTATCTATCTCAAAGTTAAACAAGAAACGTCATTTTCTACACAGCAGATCTAACATAAAGAATGCTTGTTTAAAGTTAGATGTCAAATTTTACACTTAATATGCATTGGGTATTTTGATAATTATCATTTGTCCGACATTTAAATTGTCATAATTCGACATGTTTACATATATGAAATATTGAACGACTGAACAGACGATCGTCCACAGAAGACCCATAGATGCTGGAAAAAAGTTTTTTTTCGAGTTAATATAACAAACAATCAATTTTGTATCATGTGTTAATTGAAAAAATCCTTAATAACTGATGAAGATCTTCTCAAATCTAATTTAATCGCTGATATGTTATAGAGAAAATCGATTTGAATAAATTTTCTAATAGAAATCAATATTTATTGTGAAACCAAGTAGTTGAAAAAAAAAGAAAAGTTGTGAAGTGCAATGATTTATATGCGCTTTACATATTGGTGTTATTATTGAGGACATCGTATTTAATTAGAATACTATCATCGAATTTATTCTACTTCTTATCACTCGATGATTTCTCAGCCCTCTTAAAATAGTTTTTCATGAATAGATAGAAAAGATATTGATTTATTCAGTCATTAAATTTAAGCACATTGGTTCACCATTTGATCCAACTATTTCAGTGAAACGGGCAAAGTTTGGTAAATCCTTTATAATTTGTTCTATGATTTCTATATCAGGCTCGGGAAGATCATCTAATTGAAGAATCGCATATGAACCTTTGCTGTCACCCGTTGTATTTATAACTGGTTCACGATTTGGAAGTAATTCTTCAGAAGTAAGTTGTACGGATTGTTTAGATAACTGTTCACTACCCACGAAAACATTTTTCACCAAATACCGCGGTTATTGGCGGTTGATCAGTTGCAGCTCTGAGCGGTTATTGCAAACCGCAAAAGTCAGACCTTTTATTAGGTTTTTTTTGCACCGCCCGAAACCGCGGTATCTTCAAACCGCAATTATTAATGGTTTTTGAAAAAAAATTAATTCATCATATGATGATATATTATTTCTGACACCTATCCGCAGATCATTGATTTTCCATGTTTGCGACCTATCTGTGATCTCACACGACGATTTAACACCGCGATCAGCTCGTATAATACTACTGTCTATTTATTATTTGTTTTCTACTGGTTAAATTTAAACTTCTTACCGTGTGATTGCGATCCACTAATTTCAAAAAAGTTATCCACATCCTTCAATGTACTAGAACCACAACACAAAAAGCATATTCCGAAACAGCAGGAGAAG